CACGGGGGCGCGCAGCGCGCACACGGGCGGCGGCGCCGCCACGCAGCCCAGCCAGCAGGGCCCCGCCACCAGCGCGCGCGGCCAGCTGGCGCACGCGCCCAGCAGCCTGGCCACGGTCAGCACCGGCAACGGGGAGCGGGCTGGCGGCTCTGTGGAGATGAGCGCGCAGCCCAGCCGGCGGCAGGGGGCGCAGCACGCCACCTCGGCCCCCGCCGCCTGCGCCGCCGCGCCGGCGCCGGGCGCCGCGCCTGCCGGCCCCAGCCCGCCGTCGCAGCCGCCCGGCCACGTGCCTGGGGCTCCCCTGCAGGCTGCGGCTGGGCATGCTGCGCATGCTGCGGCCAGCGCGCCTGCAGCCGTGCCGCCGCAGGGGGGGCAGCCCGGCGGCCAGGCCACGCCCCCGGCGCAGCCTGCGGTCAGTGCCTCCATGTCTGGGCAGGGCGACACACCCGGCCAGCCGTACGGCGCCGGCGCCCTGCCGCAGAGCAGCGCGGCCGCGCCGCCACTGCTGCCCGTCGGGCACGCGGCGCCGCAGCTGGGCCGCCAGCAGCAGCAGCAGGCCGCGGGCGGCAGCAGCGCGGCGCCGCCGGCGGCGCTGCCGGCGCACGCCAGCACGTGCGAGGGGCATGGCGGGCGGCCGCCGTTTACCGACGCCCGCTCCCGCAGCCAAGGTGGGGCTTGGCAGGAGCCGCGGGACCGCTTTGCCGGGCTTGCAGGCCTGCCGATCTCACCCGCCTCCCTCCATACCCTGCTTGTGCTGCCCTCAGGCAATGCTGCCGCAGGCGCGGCAGGCGCCAGTGCCGCGGCAGGCGCGACAGGCGGGGCTGCAGCGGAGGGCATGGGCAGCCCTGCGGGCAGCACGCTGGCAGAGGCGGGCAGGGGGCGGGACAGCCAGGGCACGGCGCGGGGCACCATCTTGGCGGGCGCCGCGCACTCCATCCTCACCACCGCGGCCGCGGCGGCAGGTGCGCGTGCCCTGCTGCTTCGGGTGCTGGCACACTCTCCTGTGCCGAGTCACCTGCTGCCCTTGCGCTTCGCCCGCCAAGCTCATGCCGTGGTGCCGAGGCGGAGGCGTGCGGCGCCCCCACATGGCGGCGCCTCATCTCACCTGGCTGGGCTGGCTGGCCGCCTGGCTGCAGGGGAGGGCGAAGCGATGGACGAAGGCGGCGAGGCGCTGAGCCCGCTGCTTGCAGCCAAGGCGCTGCTGGTGCAGGCGCCGCCGGGCGGCCGCGGCGCGCGGGGCGCCAGCCCCCGGCCGGCGCCCACCCCGCGCACCGGCAGCGTGGGCGTGCCGCTGGCGGCGCCGGCTCCGGCGCGCTCCGCCCTGGCAGCCGCCGCGCTGAGCACCCACCAGCAGCAGCCCGCCAACGGCTTTCCTAAGCAGCCGCCGCAGCCGGCGGGCAGCGCCGGCAACGGCTTCCTGTCGCCCATCAACCTCTCCACCATGGCGGTCGACCTGGCGCCAGCTGGCGCCGACGACGCGCCCCAGCCCTCCGCCTCCGGCCAGCCCAGCAGCCTGCCGCCGCCGGGCGCGGTGGCGGCCGCGCTGGCGGCCCTGGAGCAGCAGCAGGCGGCGCAGGACAACGGGCTGTACCTTACGCCGCCGCCTGCGGAGCTGGGGGAGCTGTATCACGTGCTGCAGCAGCAGGTGGGCTGCTGCTGGGTGGGGAGCACCTCTGCCTACGCTCTCCTGCCGGCACACATGCCGCCTGCCTGCCTGCCCGCCCGCCCGCCCGCGCATGGCGCGCCCTGCCCGCTGGCTGGGCAGGAAGGCTGCTGGCGCCTGCATGCGCGCCTGGGGCTGAACCCGCGCCCCGCCCGCCGCCGCCGCCGCCCACAGAACGGCTACGCCACCCACGCCAACAGCGCCATCGGCAACGGCGGGCACAGCCATGCGGCGCAGGGCAGCCCGGGTGAGCCGCCGCCGCCGCCCGCGCGCCCGCCCTCGCTCCCTGCCCTGGCCTCAGCACCAGCCCGCCTGCCTCAGCACCAGCCAGCCACTCGGGGTGCCCCACAGTTCACACCCACACACACGTCAACACTCACCGCCGCCGCCGCCGCCGCCCGCGCCTCCCTCCCTCAGACCGCGAGTTGACCTCCCCCTCCCGCCTCCTCACACACGACTCCACCGCCGGCGGCAGCGCCAGCCGCAGCAAGCAGGCGGCCAAGCGGCGGCGCACGTCGGCGGGGCCGTCGGGCAGCACGCAGCACGCCTGACGCACGCGCCCCCACCCTGCCCCGCCCCGCCCTGCCCTGCCCTCTTATCACCCGCTCCTTCCTACGCCGCTTCAGCCTCTGCCCCCATGTACCTGCCCTGCCCCGCCAGCCCCCTGGCCGCTCTGTTGTCCCAGGCTGCCCGCCCTCTGCTGACTGCACCTGCCCACATAGCCCGCCAGCCTTGCGCCCTCCCCACCCCTTACCTACACACGCTAGTGGAGCAGCCTGATGGTTCCCCGTGACTCCTCCCTTCTTTTCAGTTGTGGGCATGTGCCTGCCCACCTCCAGGCGCACATGCCGTGCTGCGTGTGGCAGCGGCAAGGACCGCCATGATAGCGCCTGTCGCGACCCTCGCCCTCGGCACACACTCTCCTCACTCACCCTTTATTGTACCGCTTGTTGGCGCCTGTCCGCCCTTGCCCTCCCCCCCCCCACACACACACGCCGTAGCCACACAACGACGGCACCCAACAATGGCACATGACGACAACACCCAACCCGCACACCTAACGCATGCCCCGACTCGCCCCGCCCTCAGCTTTCGCGAGGTCACTCCCTTCTGCCTCCCTCCCCTTTTTTCCCCCTCTGTCGTGCCTCAGGCTCTCCTCCCTGTTCCAGGAAGCCAGCAATTGTTGCAGCACCTTTTCCAACCTGGGACGCAAAAAAACCATGCCTGGCAGGCAAAGCAGAGCAGAGGATTGGGGGAGGCGACGGGCCACGGCTGCTGCGCCTCCCAGAGCAGCGGGGCATGAAGAGGGACTCGGCAGCTGCAACGACACAACTCTCCAGCCACGCGCCTATTCGTGCCCTTCGGCTGGCGGTTGGGCGCCGGAGCTGGCAGGCAGCGGCGCTGCTGGTATCACGAGGCGGACGCAGCGCTGGTATCACGCCTGCGTTGCTCCCTGCTGGCGCAGCCGCTTGGTCATGATTTCGTATCTGCGGCACAGCATGGTGCCGAGAGAGGCGGAGGGAAGCGGAAGGGGACCATCAGCAAGCTTGCCAGGGCCTCCCCTGTGCTGGTCCCCTCGGCAGCAGCCAGCAGCCCAGGGGCGCCCCGGCTCTCACTTGTGGTCTCCCGATGGGTTCAGCGCTCCGGGGCTCTCGCTGTCGAGCACATACCTGCACTGGCACCGAAGCACTAGGTAAGCGGCGGCGGCGCCGTCATGCTGCCTGGTGGGCCGTTGATGCAGACGGTGCCGGCACCAGCAGGGGTGGCCCCACCCCGGGGCCCCGCTGCTGCGGGGTGCTGGCCCCGCAGGAGGCCCCGGGCATGCGGGGAGGCGCAGGCTGGGCCCAGGCTCACCCCAGCTTGCGGTACAGCGCCACCGCCGCCGCGCTCTGGTGGAACACGGTCAGCATGAGGCGGGCCACCCCGCTCTTGCGCCCCACCAGCTCCAGCAGCTGCATCAGGAAGCGGCCCAGCCCCTTGCCCTGCACGGCCGCAGGCAGGAGCGGTGAGGGAGGGAGGGGGCGGCGCCCCAGCGGGGGCAGGCAGCAGGGCCAGGGGACTGCCTGCAGGGCGCGTTGCCAAGACACCGAAGCTAGGCTCTGCCGCCCAGCTTTTCTCCCGCCACATGTGCAGCGCCAAGTAATGCATCGCATGCTGGCAACCGCACCTGTACCGCAGCCGCCACCTGGATCTCGTAGCAGTAAAGTACCGCCTCCCCCTCCTCCTCCTCAAACCGGAAGTGCACAAACGCCACCGGCTGCCCCAGCTCCGCGCCGCCGCCGCCGTTGCCCGCAGCCGCCTGGTTCTCCTGCTCCGCCGCCGCCGGCACGCACGCCGCTGGCGCTGCCAGGGGTGCCGCCTGCTCCACCCGCTGCTGCTGCTGGCCGCCCTGCTGCTGGCCGGCCCCCTGCTGCTGCTCGCCCTGCTGGTACACCACCAGGTGCCGGGCTGCAGGGTCGGCGAGCTCTCCGCGCTTCCTGGCGTCGCTCCACCCCCAGTCAGGGCAGGCCTCGTACAGGGCGCTCATGTGGTGGCGCGTCAGGTCCAGTGCCCAGTCCACCATGGCAGGGGGTAGCTCGGCGGCGCCGTAGAAGCGCAGCGCGGCGGCCAGGCCCTTGCGATCGTACCGCTGGAAGGCGGGGTACTGCGCGGCCAGCTGCACGCCGGCTGCCGAGGCCTCGTTCAGCGCCCGCACCTGCGCCGCCAGCGCTGCGATGCGCTCATTCTCCTGCAGGCACGCGGGCAACGCGTGGGGTGGCTGGTCGGAGGGTGTGGGGAGCGCGATTCAAGGAAAGGTTGGAAGGCAAAGGTTGGAAGAGGGGTGCCATACTCGCTGTCACCCCGCGCAGGCTCCTGCACGCCGTCGGCAATAAAATATCTACGCACCGCCTTGCGAGCCAGCTTCTTCTCCTTCCCTTTGCTGGTCTTCTTTGCCTGCAGCAGGGGCCCCCCTCCAGGTGAGTCGGTGTGGCGGCAGCCGGTGCGGCGGTGGCTGCAACAACAGCGCTGCAGCTGCCCCTGATTATTTCTAGATGCGCACACGCGTGGGGGCCTCAAGGAAGCAGCATGTGGGCCGCTGCGACGGTGCAGCGCAATCAAACAAACTGGGTTGGGTTCCAGTTCTCGGCCAACCCAGCTCACCATTGCGATCTGACTGCGAGATGAAGGAGAGCACGCTCAGATTGGCGGGGAGAGCAGCTTAGGTTGCCTGAGGCTGTGGCAAGGAATCCCGCTCCGCTTCTTCTCGCCCAGCGCACGCTGCTTCTGATCAGGCCTGGCCGTCTGCAGAGCTCTTGGCCTTGGTTGATTGCATCCCCTCTCGTTTAGGCATCTTCTTGAAGCCACCTTGGCACGCCGCTCGCAGCGGGCGGCACAGTTTGCTGGGGATTTTGATGTGAAACCACTTTGTTCACGCTTTACCAGACCAGGGGCGCTGCTGGGCGATCTTTGTATGCAAGCTGCCCTTTCCGTTGCCGCAGAGATGCCGCCTGGAGGATCAACTCTGCTGCAGGCGGGTGCGCAACCGTGGCCGCTGCCGCTGCCATTGTTGCTCCTCCGCCTCATCCGACTCCTCCCCCTCACTCTCTTCCTGGCTGTCTTCCTCCTCTGACGTCTCACTGTCCTCTGCTTCCTCCTCCTCACTACTTGGGTCATCTGCGACATTGAGAAGCACCAAAGCCGTGAATGCACACCCGCCACTTCAGCAGCCTGACTGCCCCTCCCACGCTGCTGCTGGCTTCCTGCATCCCACCAGCGCGGCATGCGAAGCACAGCCAACCGCCCAGCCACCCCCGCCACCGCCCACCACCTGAAGCCTCCACACTCTCCTCATCATCATCAACCTCCCCGTCCTCATCCTCGTCCTCGCTGGCAGCCAGGCGGGGTCGCTTGGGCTTGGGCGTCACAAACCTGGGCGGCCGCCCCGGGCGCCTCTCTGCCCGCAGCTGATCTGCGAGCTCAGCTTCCCGCGCCTGCAGGCATGCAGCACACGTTCCAGCAGGTGGAGCAGCCAGCGCGCGGGCGCTGCCGCACCACACTCCACCGCCAGTTCCAGCCCATACACGGACGCAGGAGCAGCCCCCGGCGGGAGCCAACCAGCCGCCGACAGCCACCCAGCCCCGCTCCTCACCTCAATCTCCTGCTCCGTCTGGGTGTCGATCGCCCCCTTCCTGTCCAGGTTGTACCATTTATCCTTCATGTCCACCTGAGGGCGACACACACGGGAGCGCCAGCCGGCTGGCCCAACAGGCGCGTAGCAAGGTGCTTGGGCAGCCCCAGGCGACCAGCGCGTGGAAGCTAGCAAGGCACAGCCGCAGGCGTGCGCACAAGCGCAGGCTTTTGAAAAGTTGGACAGGCCTGCATTGCCGGCCCACTCTCTACCCACATTTGTGCGGACAGGGTTGAACACCACAGCCCCCTGCTTGAGAATCGTGGCCCAGTTGCCGCGGCCGTGCAGCTTGACCAACTCAATCAGCTTCGCCTCCTCCTCGCTGCTCCAAAGCACACGCTGCACATTGAAGCAGGCAGCACCCCCATCCGCTCATGGCGACCCACAAGCAAGCATGCGCGCGTGACGCCGGGGGCGGCTTCACAAGCAGCGGCGCACCAGACGGCGGCGCTTGCCGCCCTCTTCCTCGTCCTGCTCCCGCTCATCAGCAGGATCCTGCGCAGCACGATCGTCTTGCTGGCCGGCCATTGTGCGGCTGGGTCCTTAAATGCTGCACTTGCAATTTTGGGGAGTGCTTGTACGGCCTGTGCACGGCCACACGCTTCCCTGATCTGTCGGCTGTGTGCAAAGGATCCGCAAGACCGGCGCTTCGAGCTGGGGTTGCTCCTCTCCTCCTTCTTGGCGGCCAGCGTGGCAGACCGCTCGCAGCGTGCGACCCCTGCCGCACCTCCCTTTCCCTTGATTTGTTCCATCCTTCTCTCCCCTCGGCTCTCACATTGCAGAGAAGGAGCTTATAAGCTGAATGAGGGACCAAGCACGGGCATGCAGGCTCGGCGCAGAACCGTCGCTACGTGCCACCCACCGCTCCCCCGCCGCTGCTGCGCTGCCTGGCGGCTTGCTGCGACTTCTTGGTGAACATGCTGCTCAGGTCCTCGGTCGTCACATTGGCTCTTCCCCTGCAGCACACACGCAGCGCAACAGGGCAGCAGGCATGACGTGATCGCAGGGTACCAGGCCTGCAGCGGAGGGGCGGGCACAGCTGCGCCGCTCCACGACAAGCACGAGCGCGGCGCCTCTGCAAGCATGGGGTCCCTTGCCTGACCTGCGGCGGCAGCAGCATCCCGCCCTGGGATGCCGCCTTGGCGCCGCCCACACTGAGTGCTCCGCCACTGCACGGCAGCGGAAGCAGCATGCGTGCAAGGTTGCTGGGTGGCCCTGCTGCAGGCAGGGGGTAGCACGCTGCTGCACGGCTGGCATGGCAGCGAAACCAAAGGGCCGGGGGGCGCGGGTGCACAGCGGGAGCCCACCTGCGCTGCAGCTTGGCGTCCGCCATAGGGTTTGGCAGCACGGGGCCGCGGGCGTCGGGGTGCGCACGCTTGCTGCCAGCCGCCAGCTGGGCCGACGGCGGCGCATGGCTCCTCCCCGCCGCCGCCTGCGGCCCAAAGTCTGGGGGCAGCAACCCGATGGGCGCTGCCCCTCCTAGGAGCGCCTCCGCGCTGGGCAGGCGTGCACCGCTGGCGGCGGCAGCGCCTGCCTGCTGTCTTGGCGGAGCCGCCTGCTGCTTCTGCTGCTCCTCCTGCGCTGGGGGGGATCCCTCGTCTTCGCTGTCGCTGTATGCCACGAGGCCAAGCATAGGCGGCGCTGCGCAGGGCTAGCGCGGAATAGAGTCCCTTCCTGCACGATCCATTGTGCGATCTACACTGCCCCACGGGAAAGCTCCTCGGGTGCCAGCTTGCCGCCTGCTCCGTGCTGTGATCGAGACGATGGCGGGGGAGACAATGCGCGTGCACGACATCCCGGGGCCATCTTGCAGCATCGCCACGGTCCTATCCATCGCCAGGCGTTGCCCTGGGCCGGCCTGACTAACCAGCGGGGCCACGGCCAAGCTTTTGCTGCGGCGCATTCGCCTGCCCAGCAGCCGCCAGCCATGGAGGAGCAGCAGCAGCAAGTGAGGCGCAAGCTGCCGCCCCTGCAGCTGGCCTCCACGAGCCTGAGCACGCTGGGCTCCACCAGCGCCAGGGCCAGCTTGCAGGCGCTGCAGGGCGGCAGTCCGCATTTCGGCCTGTCGAGCGAGCAGCCATCGGCGTCGCTGCGACAGCCGACTGTGTGCAGCGCCGGCGGCCGGGGGACCGGCGGCGGCAGCGGCAGCGGCCGCAGCCGCGGCAGCAGCGGCAGCAGCACGGGGCAGGGTAGCAGCAGCGGCGGAGCGCGGTTCAACTTCTTTAGCAGGGCGCTGCGCTACGGCCTCGGCGCTGGCGGCGGCGGCGCGGCAGCATTCGTGAGTCTCTGGCTGGCAGCAGCCTGCCGTGATTCCATGGCTGCATCGATGTTGCCGCTGTTTGCTTGCAAGCATGCCTGCAGCCATCCCTCAGCGCCACCACACCACACGCAGGCTCCCCGGGGACAAGCACAGCATGCATGCACGGGCCGCTGGCCGCCCCGGCGGCCTCCCGGCCCGCCGCCGCCTCCCCGCCCAGCCCGCCCGCCAGCCGTCGCCCCCACCCTCCCGCCCCTGCCCTGCAGTGCGGCGGCGGCGGCGCCGCGCACGCCACGCCGCTGTGGCCGCTGCGGCCGGCGGCGGGGGTGGCCAGGCGCAAGCGGGACGGCAAGACGCGGGTGCTCATCCTCATGTCGGACACCGGGGGCGGGCATCGCGCGTCGGCGGAGGCCATCAAGGCCGGGTTTGAGGAGCTGTACGGGGGCAAGTTCCATGTGGACGTGCTGGACATCTGGACCCACCACACACCCTACCCTTTCAACCAGGTGCGCCCGCCCGCGCCGGCCGCGCGGCGCGGGTGGGGCGCGTGTGGAGACGCCCCAGGTGGCGGCGGGGCGGATGCTGGAGGGAGCACGAGCAGGCGCGCCGGCGCGGCTCCCGCAGCTCGCTGGAATGTGGAGTGCGAGGTCGAGCGTATGGAGGGAGCGGGAGGGACGGGAGCGCGTCGCAGGCTGTCGTCCGCACGTTTGGCCCGCGCTGCTGGTTCGCCTGCGCCCAGCCCCAGCCCGCTGCTGCCGCCACCCACGCAGCGCCTGCCCCGCCCGCCTCCCCGCCCCGCAGATGCCCAAGACCTACTCCTTCATGGTCAAGTACTCCTTCCTCTGGCGTGCAG